TTAATAAGGTGTTGATTAGTAATTAGTCTTTCATTGGTACAATTACTGTAATACCATATGATTGTACTACATTGCAATATGTTTAGTCTGTTTGATTTAACTGAGGTGCCAGAGAAAATTAAGGAGAAACAATTTGATATAATCTAATAGTCACAGAAAACTGTAATTAGTTGTCAATTCCAATGTATCTAGTTAAGCTACTTAACCATAGATGTTTATGTGGAATATTTGTTTGTCCAATAATGCAAAAATTCAAACTTTTCATTTGATTTCCAAAAGACGACAGCCATACAAAAAAATCAGCACAGCTTCTGCCGCAATGTTACATACAGTGCTGAAGACTGTGACTCAATTGTGTTGTGGGGAAAAAAAATGAATGCATCAGAAAAAAATCTGGATGACGCAGCAGAAGTGATTTTTGTTTTCTAAAGTTGGCTAAAAAAACCAAAACATGAAAGCTTAATCAAGCAGGAGCCACCCATGCTTAATGTGTGCACTGTGTGTTGCTGCTGTATTTTTGAAGTATTTCCATGAAAGCTTCACAACGCCACACACAGGCACTATATAGTACTTTTACAGTTTTACTTTGGTTAATAATGGATGAAAACATTCCAATAGAAGATATGCATAACTTATAGAGATTGTTTTATAACAACAAATAAGTTGATATTTTGGAATACCTCTGTTTGTGCACTTGGTACAACCAATGACCTTAAATCTCAGACAGCTAATTGAATAAAACCTCTGTTATGGGCCGATGGGTCTGTATCACTTTCAACGGCACTAAGCAACTTTGAGGAAGGTGGCAGTAACCCTGCCGGACCCCTGTGCAGACTGCTTTACGGCATGCATCACTCCCCCCTTTCCCATTCGTTATAAAGATGGATGCTGATGTAACATAATTTCCCTTAGAGACTGTATATTCAAGCAAATTGTGCAAGGTTATGTTCATTAGTATTGCGTTATATAATCACACCTCCATTACTGTGCTTTTCTGTTGGTGACAGGTGTTTGAGCTTATTTACATTTTTTTACCATAATTTGCTGCTATTGATCAAGCTCAGACAAAATAATTTAAACTAAACTCACATCAGTCCAAAATAAATTCTTTGAGAAGTGTTTATCCAGATATTTTTTTCAAACTTCTGCTTTTTATCTTTTACTTGCATGAATACTTAGATTTAGCATGCTACCTGTAAAGTTTAGAACAGATTTATTTTTTCCTTCAACAGTCAGGCGTTAGGGTGGATTTTCTGTGATTTTCAAAGCTGGAAGACTGATGGCCTTCTTAAAATAAAATAAAATGATTTCAACACAGCGGAGCTGTTGAGCAATGTCTGTAGACCAAAACAAGATGTATGACAAGCTACACCTCACTCTACCTTCACTCCAGCTGCAACCCCATACCCAACTTTATTCATCACCTTATATACACATATTTTCACATAAATACCCAGCAAACAGCACCACCAGACAGTACATGTCTGGTAAAAAAGTAACTTACACCAATTTTTTTCATTCTGATAGCAAAAGAACTTAATTTTGGCAAAGCTTCTACAGTGTTTGTCAATACCTGGATAATTATGCCATCAAAGATTGGCTAGTAGCATAACTACACTACTACTGCAGTATTAGTAGCTCTCCTGCAAAAGCAATCTAGGTTACTTTTGCAATCTAGTTGCTCCTACACTATATTATGCTGGCAGGAGCATTTTATTGGCAGGGAGAGGCTAAGCTCTGAGGGACGGCTGTTCACATAGAGGTACGTACACCATAGCCTGCCCTTCTTGTAAACAACAGACTGGAGAACAAGATAGTCTCAAAGCAGCCGGACCGGATCATGTCTCTACATCCAACTGTCTTTGTTGTTCACAGACATTCCTGCCAGCCTGCTTCAAAGCCTAAACCAGCTGCCCTGTTCCCAAGAAACCAAGCAAAGGACTTAATGACTACAGTACCGTCACCCAAACCTATGTGGTAATAAAGTCCTTTAAATTCATCACACACCCACTCCTGAATCCACGTCAGCTTGCCCATATCAACAGGTCTGTATATGATAAAATAAACATGGCTTTGCACTACATCCTTCTGCACCTGGACTCCCTATGAACCAATAGTAGCATGCTATTTGTTGCCTAAAGCTCTGCTTTCAACTCTATCATCCTGACCCTGCTCTAGGACAAGCTATTGTGAGTGAGTTTGTCCACCTACAGGTGGGAAATGATTATCTGGCTCATTGCTAAAAAAAACTGCAGACAGTTGTCTACTTTAGTAAGAGCATAGCCCTGCCCTTTCTCATCATGCTGTGTGTCTGTCTCTCCAGTCACCGACGTGGACTTCTTCTGCTTCCATACACCGTCATCTCTCAGGAAGTCAACACACAGCAGAGAATTGCACATTCCCTGGACGCTGAAGAAGTTCAGCCTGTCAAAAACAGTGATGGTGCACTTCTACTCCGCAAACACTGAGTCCATCCTCACCTCCTCACACTGCTTCCACCATCTAGGCAATCCCTGCAGAGAGGGTGATCGGTTGAAATGTCCTTTATCTTGAGGAGCTGTACACCTCCAGGACCCAGAGGTAAGCCGGTAAGACTGCCGCTGATTCCACCCACCCTGGACATACACTGTTTCAGACTCCCCCCTCTGGCTGAAGCATGTGGTATCAGAACCAAAACATCTTTCCCCCAAACATTTTTATTTCCCATCTGCTATTAGCCTCATTACCAAGGCACAGTTCCTCCACTAAATGTTTTCCAATTTAAGGAGGAAAAAAAGAGAAATCAAACATCTTAGCACATGTATCTGTATAATCTTAAATCAAATTTTATACTGTTGTTAAAATTTATTTTCATTATCTGCCATGGTGCTCTTCCTCTGCAAAAGTTGCACTTTTAATCTGTATTCTATAATTGTTTTTCAGCCAACTGTGTTTATTTTGTCCCGTATCATATATTTCCAAGGTTACTTATGTTAGTTTTGTGTTTGCTTGTCTGTTTGTTGCACGTCATCACCAATACAAATTCCTTATATGCATAAAACACTACTTGGCAATGATGCTTTTTCTGATTACTATATAAACACCCAAAAAGAATATGCAATGGGTAGACTGAAGTTAAACATTTCTGCACAGTAAAACTGTGTATTTCATTTTAAACTTGTGCAATAACACTTTTAACTTGATCCTTCACCCATGCTCTTCATGGCTCTTCATATTTGCTTTCTGCTTACACATATTTATTGTATGGTCCATTCAAAGCTTTCCGTGCAAACATCAAGTCGGGGATTGTAGGTTAAATTGTCAGATTCTTACTTAGCTCAGATGTGTTAAAAGACAATCATTCACACCTCTACTAATAAGATTCATTCATTAATCTGGAAAAAAAAAACCTTAAGAGAGGAAGAGGCTCTTGCATCAGCAAGATTTAAACTAACAGGAAAAACGCCATCAAATCCAGGATTTTTTTCTGTTTCATAATACCTTTGTAGTCAACAATATGAAGACTGAAGTAAGGGAAATTTCAGGCCATTAACTGAACCAGGGTCACTGACACTCCACAATATTTAATGTTTTACTGACTTTTTGAAGTCTGCTGTGCCTTACAGACATCCATAGTGACAGTGCCAGATTCACACAGCAGACACACTTCCAGGCAGTTCTGCCTGCAGCCTATTCATCACTAGTAATATGAATAATCATTTGAATTGAGGTCAGAAAAGTGGCTCAGCCTGTTGAGAACATTTTGGTGGTGAAGCGGAAAAAAACCTTGCCTGCTTTGCTTGTAAGTTAGACTTATGTTTGGGTGCACTGACCTAAAACCGGACATCATGTATTAGATAATGCAGTATAACCAGAATTTGCAACCTGTTAAGCCTGTAAGTTCCTCCTGTTGGACAGGATTAACGGGTAGTTTGTTTAGGATAGGGGACTTATTCCTCCAGGGTTGAGAAGCTTAGAGAGGATCATTATATCCAGACAGATTGTTCTGTTTGCAAACTGCGAAATGAATTTCCAAAATCACTCCATTTTTTTGAGGATTTTGCTATCACTGACATCATTTTTAAAGCTGATTGATGCTAGATTATAAGTTCTCTATTGTGTTTTTAAAAAAAAATGGGGATCATGATAGGTTATAAAGCTACCTCTCTTCCAGAGCAAACCTAAAAGTTGCTGTTAGGTTAGCTTATAAGGTCAAAGGTTAATTAAAGAGTGATGACAACACTACAAGATAACAGAAGGCAAACAGCCCAGCACATATACAATTAGTTTCCCAACCATAGAGGTTTTTGGATGGTAAGAGGAGGTTGGAGTACCCAGAGAGAGAACCAACGCGCTGATGGAGAGAACATGCAAACATCTTGCAATCTTGTTCGTTTTGAATTCCTTGAGTTCCCAGAGTTCAGATCTAAACCTCTGTGAATGTTCCAAAATTTCTAAGCAATGTCAATGGTAAGAAATAATAGAAAATGGCGAAAATTGGCACAACTCTGTCTGAGCCAGTCTCTGTTAAGAAATAACATAGAGTAGTAGCCATTGTATTTCTCTGAGCTTTGTCTTTGTAAAATGTGGGATAAAAAACAGTAATGGCCAAACAACAAAGGTGTCAGGTGACATTTGTGCTTTTAAATTCTAAGCTTTGTCTTCAAATCTCTGACGCAGGGTTTATAGACGGGACATAATGACAAAGAGAATAAACCCACTTCACTCAATGAAGGTCTCTTTCCTTTAAATTGCCGTTGGATTGGATTGCTTTTTTCAAAGCTTTAATAATGGAAACGTTTTTAAAGCCAGGAACCTTTTGTTTAACATCCTAATGCACTTTTGAGCAGCTAACGGCTTCTACTAAACCCTTATAATAGAATAAACAACTTTCCCACACATGCAATCACCAACAGCTATCTCTTTTGTATTTTGTCAAAGCAGCTTTGTGGAAAATGTTAATGATCATTTTCTGTGTGCAGAACAGAGAAGGTTTGAAAGAAAAAATAGAAATATTTTACCTGATCTCCATCTTTCCGTACTGGCACCGCATCTGCTGCTGGAAAGGCAAAATGAGAAAGAAAGAGAGAATCAATTAAACGTAAGAAGAGTTCATTATTCCCGGGGTCAGGTCATAAGCAGAAAACACAGATGCAAAAAAAAACGACAAGATAAGACCAGAAATGACTTTGTATAAGTCGGCCTCTATAGTTGGTTGAGGGAGGGGAGGGAGAAGTAACAACACAGAGGAAGATAACAGTGTGCATAACTGAAGTGGCTTTGGGCATCATCACTGATAGAAGTAGAAGAACCGTCCAGTATTCATCTCTCGGGGCACACATACACACCAGCACACATACACACACAAACTGCGCTAAAATTAGATTAATTATCCATGCTGAGCTTTGGCTCACAAAGGGCACAACCATTGCGAATCATGAAGGTTAAGGGTGATAGACAAATATGTGTGGATGATGGGCTATTCCCAAAGATGTCACAAAAATTAATGGAAAAAAAGTTAATCATTTAGGGACTCCTTTTATAGAAGCATTAACTGCTGACTTGTGGAGGCACTTACAGATAGTCATAAGACCGTATCAAATACATTGCATCCTACCTACAAAGCATGCAATCATGATTTTGCATTATATATATATATATATATATATAACGCTGCCTAAAGATAATGATGAGAAAACATTATAAGAGCAATGGCAAGGGCAAAATAGTATGGAATAGTTATATATTTATATATATATATATATAAAGAGAGAAAAAGACAGACAGACAGACAGACAGACAGACAGACAGACAGACAGACAGACAGACAGACAGACAGACAGACAGACAGACAGACAGACAGACAGACAGACAGACAGACAGACAGACAGATAGATAGATAGATAGATAGATAGATAGATAGATAGATAGATAGAGTCAAGGGCAATGTCCACCTGGAGTGCTTTTAAAATAAAATCAAGCGCTCTTGGTAATTTCCCTCCTCAAGCAAAACACCTGATTTAGAAATAACTCTGCTCACCTGGGCTTCACAAAAGGATGGCATAACAAGCAAAGAACTCCAAGCTACATCAAAAGACACCACTGGCAGGAGATAATGAGAACATTTGTGCTTTCAAATGGACAGTAAAAACTATTTTACATAATTCATATTTTGTGCAGTAAAACCAAGGGAAATTTTGTTTGTTTGAGAGTATATCTTAAATATTTGAGATTATGGACATCAAAGTATGCAGTGTGCAATTTATTGCTTGTTGATTTAATTTACAGTTAAGTTTTAAAAGCTGGTTGAAAATGTAAAACATTGAAGAGAATTCATTGTAATTTCTGGTGTGCATTTTTTCTTTGTAGGTGAAAAAACCTATTCACGTTTGTGAGATTTATCTGAATCAAGGGAAAAGACAAATGAAGAAACCAAACTGAGTTAAGTTGTATGTATGTATATATTTATATATCCATTTTCCAGTCATGCTTATCCCAGCTGGGGTCGCGAGGGGTGCTGGTTGCCAGTCCATCACATATATATTATACACTTCACTAGAAAATGACTCTGATCAAATCAGATTTAATTAACAGATTTAAAATGTAAAATCCCAAACTTTGCTTTTTTCAGAGCTTATGTTTGATGGTGAATTAGCCAAACAAAAATTGGAGAACCGTAACTCAATTAAGTTGGTTTGCTACTTGCTGCTTTAATCAAAGAAGACTTATCAACAGAGGGAGGGATATGCATCACTTGATTGTTTACATAAGGTTGAGGTAAATATGTCTGTAGAAGAAGTTATGGGAAATATTGTTAGACCACTCTTCATTTTTTTATCATTTTAATGCCCAACGGAACTTAGGGATCACCTGTTTTGATGCATTTATTTATAACACCAAAAAGTGCTCGTAAGGGTGTAACTGAAGAGCTGATATCTAACCATTTTCCAAGCTTTTCTTGGTAATAACCAACATCACTAATGTCCGTCCACCATTGTAATACATTGTACCACCATTCGATTTGTTCTGTATTCTATAATAATAGATTTCCAAAACCAGGCTGCTCTCATATTTTATCCATGAAAGTAGAGATAATGTATACATTTCACTTTTTTTTATTTTTTGGAAACTCATCATCTCTGTCATCTTAATACAGTTGAACTGTTTACCCAAATGCATCACATTCTGGATGAAAACAAAAACAGGATGTGACTCATCGGTGCAATGATGAGGAGCATTTAAATTTAGTCAGAGTTTATGTGGATCGTGTGGATAAGCCAGTCATCTTGTTATCATTTTGCATTTTATTGCAGCATTAAGATGAGAGAAAATGAATTCCCCGTCCAGCAGAAGACTTAGAGCCAGCTCCAAAATTAGATTAATTATCCATGCCATGCCTTGGCATAGGGGGTCTCAACCTGTATGAGTCACTGTCGTCCGTGATGCTGAAGGATATTAGATTTAAGTGGCAATGAAAGGAGAGGCTTCCCCCTCGTTAATACGAATTATAAGCTGTGCCTATAATATCTAGACGTAGAAATGGCAGAGGAGGAAATTGCCATGAAAAGTGATAACTGGATCCTTGAACTGAACCTCATGCTATAAAATGAAGTTATACCTGATAAAAACAGGTCAGTTTTAGGGGAAAGTCTGTCGTAGAACATGTCATTTAAGTTGTTTAATAACTGAGAGAGTTTCAAGGTGGAGTAACCCTGAGCTTCAAGCTCCTGTCATTAGAACAGCTAATTGACACAAATTGAAGAATCCTCCTTAAACTCCCTGCCTCTCCTTGTTGATAAAACCCCTATTGAAGTAGATTAACAGTCCAAATCAATACTGCAGCCAGGACTCACTTACCAGTCTGCTTTCCACAAAGACCCACTATGTAATATGTATAGCATCCCCAACAAATGGCTCAACATCTACCTCTGTGGAGACTGTATTGATTTCATGCTTTCTTCCAGGTCCGGCCCACGCTGAAGGGACGTTTATTCAGCTGACAGCACCTAAAAATACCTCAGGGTTTATTCCTCCTGCTTTGACCAATAAATGTTTTCACCCAATGAGTTGTCAGGAAAACCATTTGTGACAAAAGCTGGAATATCTATTGGGAGGACAGCCATGGGTTTATCCTGAACAAAATCTGAATGTTAAGCTAATTTCTGAGAGACAATATCCCAGCAGCTTTGAAAAGCCTTTAGTATGTCATATTTTGTGGTTTATTAAATAGTTATAAGAAAATCATATACCTGTGGTCAGACAATCTACTAGGCTTTTGTTGATAATTGATCTGAAAATGTTAAAGCAGGATGAATGAACACTGACTTCTACCAGCTTGGTTGGAAAGCAGCTGGTCTCTTCTGGTCTTATATGCTTGCTTGTTTTGTTTTTTTATGGCTAAAGGTATGCTGAGGGGAGTTTGCGATCCAAAATTGCTTTTTAAAAAATGCTAATATGGGATCTCATGTTGTCAAAGCTGCACTGAAGTGCAGGAAGAAAAATACCGGAACAGTTAATAATTCAAAGAACAAAATTTAACTCAATTTTTCAACTTTGACTTTTAATAATTTTACTCAGTTTAGTTTTGCTGCACCAATTCACAGCACATGTCATCACAAGGCTCTACAGTAGATTCAATTAAAATCATCCTAACAGGTTAAAAGTTTTCTATGTAAGGAAGACCGGGGGGATTCCATCTAGTGATTGACTTTGCAGCAGTCGCTCCTCCTGGATGAACATGTTGAGACGGTAGACATTCACCTGCATTGTGTTATTGACTGCAGCATTTCTCACACTGAGCATGAGGCGACAGTGGAGAGGAAAACTCACTTATAACAGGAAAAAGCCTCAAACTGAGCAAAAGACAGATTGTGAGCTGCTTTCTACTGAGCAGCTCTTGAACGCAGACCAGCTGTTCAAGACAAAGCCAGTTACTAACTGTTAATATAACTGAAAAGCAGAAAGCAGAAAAAAAGACTATAAAGATTACATGTGAAAAACCAAACAGATCATTAAGTCTGTTTCCTAACTGGGAGCCAAAGTGTTTTATTCCAAACACAAACTTTCACACACTTCCACTACATGGAAGGGCCTCAATATTAACGTTAAGAGTAATATAGCTTAAAGCCTTAATGATTACAATATATGAAAGATCTTAACAGCAATTCTCTAACAAAAAGAATAAGTTGTTTCCAGGGAATACCTTGAATAACATGTTACCATTATTCCCACTGCAAGATCTAGATTTGAAACGATCTTTTAAATTTCTCAGTGAAGGTGATAATAAAGTTTCTAACGGTGCATTCAGACCAAACGTGAAAAGAAACGACTGATGTGAGTGATTTACATTATCACTAAGTAGAAGCACATTCAGAAGAGAGGGTGCATGAAAGGGACATTGAATAAACAGCAGGCAAGTAGATAGAAGTTCATCCTATTTGATGATGCGGCGAGGTGCACTTGGCATTGTCGAATTATTCAAAATTATTAGCAAAATGTTAAGGGGGCAAGAAAATCCTCTTCAGTGTAAAAGCACCATAACCATAAACTGAATGAAACTATTGAGGGAAATAAAGATTAGGGTTATGACAATGAGGATTTTTAACCTTAAAGAACTGGAACTCGTAAACGAATTAATCGGGGATCAATATGTTTCAATAGCTAGAAAGACATTTAACATAAACATATATGTTCTAAGCTGTCAGAATTTCTTTGGAAGAAGGATGTCATTTCTCACAACATTGAGTTCAGTTGTCCTGTCCAACTGTGCAAGCTGCACAGCATCTCTGTCTCTTTTTCCCTCTCCCTCTTCATCTCTCTCTCACAGCGTTAATGAAAGCCATCCAGTCTTGTTCATGACTCTGCTCTCTGTGAGCACATTTGATATCTAACCCAGGGATCCCTGAAGCCATTTACTTCACACCACATACTCACATACCAAGACTCAGCCACGTTCAAAGAAGCACACATATGCTGTATGTCCATTACACACACACACCTTTGGACCTCTTGGGATGATTCAGAGCTTCCTCTGAAAGCCACATGAGAAATGAGCAGGTG